GTTTACTTTGTTCTTTCATTCTCATCTCTATTGTTTCCTGTATATTTGAAACAAGGTATACAGAAACTACTGTATATAAAAACTTTTTCATAATTGTCTTGAGAATTTAGATTAATGATGTAAAAGAATAAAGTTTTGTCAGATTATATCATCTATAAACTTAAAAAATTTTTATGAATGCTAATTGCATATTATTTTTTTATCATTTCCTTACGAAGTAAAATAACCACTAATAAATTATAAAATACTTCTCTTATTTTAATTATTTAAATACTTTCTTTGTTTTATTTTGAATTATTAAATTTATATTTTATACATATATTTGAAACTAAATACTTTAAAATGAATAATGTGAATAAATTTAAACTTTCTTAAACTTTAATGCAATAAAGAATTTTAATTAATTCATAAATTCATTCTTAGGATTGCCAGTAATGCCACACAGACCAACAATATTCAAAGTATATTTTTTGAAACCTTGAGACTTCACAAGATTCTTTTTAAAAAGTTCTCTTATTACATTTAATTTTTGAAACTGTCATTTCAATAATGTAAAAACTTATCATTTTAAAAAGAAATTTTTAAACAACTTTAAATTGCAATAAAGATTTATGTTCAAAAAAATATATTTAAAAATGAATTATGATTTTAAAAATCGTGTACTTAATTTATATGATCTCAAAATTATTTTGATTTGTATAAAACACCAAAAAAAAAAATTTAATTAGAAAGAATTTTATGGATACTGAAAGTTTGAAAAACACTGACAAATTCTTCACATATTCTTTTTTTATATATTTTAAATCTGAAGAAAATTCTATACTCCAGTTTTTCAAATATCCCTGATTTATTCTTCATTAATTTCTAATTGTATTATTAAAAACTTAAATTTAAAAAAGTTATTTATAATCAAAAAATATAGACCAATGTTATCCTTTCAAATTAAGAGATCTAGTCAAAATATAAATCTGTATTTTAAATAATCCTTTTTTTTCTATTATTAAACATTATTATAAATTTTGCAGTATCTTTCTGTAATTTTGTTTGAATTAAAACATCGCTGATGCAAGCACACATCATTATAGGTTTAAATTTAAAAGAAAATTCAAAAGAAAATTTGGAACACATCAGAAACGGAAACACCAAAAAAGGTTTTCTCTAATAAAATTCCACCTGAAGAAGGTCCTAAGGTAGACCGAAAATGTGTGTGTTACGTTAAAACTTTTCAAAGCTCATAAGGTTAGTGAGATATATATATATGCAGTTGACCCCCCTATAACTGTTGATAATTCCGTGTTATATGAATTCCATGTTGTATGAGTCACTTAGANTACGCTTTTTAAATATTTTTTTACGATTTCCATGATAAATATTAAATTATTTTAATATTTAAAAAGAAATCAATATTTAACATTAGTTCAAATTGCATACTGTAAAATCATATTAACATATTAATAGTTTACAGTTCCCAGAATAAAATTACATGTGAGTAAGATGTTTTTAATCATATGTAAATTTGCTTCATATTATTTCTGTTACACCATGCTGTTTACAACTTTTATGTGTTAAAAATTCAATCTTCAAATCTGTAGTTGCAACGAGAGGAAATTACGTTCAGGATCAAAGACAATCCGGAAAATCAGTCATTCCATTTTACAGTATATCTATTTATAGGGCCTATAGTTTTGATAAATACTGTAATATCATATAACATTTTCAGTTATAATTAGTTTTCTATTAGAGTTTAAAATTATTAAACATTATTATAAAGCTTACAGTATCTTTCTGTAATTTTGTTTGAATTAAAACATCGCTGATGCAAGCACACATCATTATAGGTTTAAATTTAAACATTATTATAAATTTTGCAGTATCTTTCTGTAATTTTGTTTGAATTAAAACATCGCTGATGCAAGCACACATCATTATAGGTTTAAATTTAAAAGAAAATTCAAAAGAAAATTTGGAACACATCAGAAACGGAAACACCAAAAAAGGTTTTCTCTAATAAAATTCCACCTGAAGAAGGTCCTAAGGTAGACCGAAAATGTGTGTGTTACGTTAAAACTTTTCAAAGCTCATAAGGTTAGTGAGATATATATATATGCAGTTGACCCCCCTATAACTGTTGATAATTCCGTGTTATATGAATTCCATGTTGTATGAGTCACTCAGATTTTACAAATACGTGAGCCGTTTACAGCCTGGCACATGCATTTGTAAAATCTGAGTGACTCGTACAACATGGAATTCATATAACACGGAATTATCAACAGTGTTATAGAGGGGTCAACTGTATATCAATGCTTTGTTTGTTAAGATGGATTTTATTGAATTAAAAAATTCTTCAATTTACAAAAAAATACATTTGCACTCAATTATTTTATAATAAAGTTTATAGAAAAAAATAATTAAAAACTGTTAATTTTCCTTATAAACACAAGTATTTTTATATTAAAAAAATATTCATGTAATGATAAGATGCTTAAAATATAAAATTAATTATAGCTTATTCTGAAGTGTAGGCTAATAACTGAAATACTCATCTTTGCATTTGAGTCAAAAAACTTTTGTAAATAAAATATGAACATACAATCACATTAGGAAAAAGAATATATTTTTTTGTTTCTTTTCATTATTATTGACTACATACTAAATTTAGTCACATTATCCATTACTGATCTTAATGTAAGATTATATATAATCTTCCAAGTAAATGTTGCCTTAACAGAGCTCAAGTTTCACATTGAAACTATTTCAAACTAAATCTGATAAACAACTATCTTAGTTTAATTTTTATCCCTTTTCCTATATTTTATATATATATATATATATATATAAATGCCTAATACTTAGCATTTTTATTTTATTTCTGCTTCTCTGCATATTTGCTGAAATTTGAAAAAAAAATATTTTATACAATAATAATCCAAAAAAAGCAAAATAATTTTCTGAATTAACTGATGTTGAACTAACTTATCTATGAAACCATCAACATTTTCCCCCTGTATTCATAACATTCAAATACTTTAATCTTTATTAAAAATTATACCTCCAAACATTTTTGAGAAAAATGCCTTTATTGAAATTTTTTAAATCTCTTCTTACATTATTCAAAATTACATATGAATATTTAATTACTAATAATCAACATTTCATATTTTTGAAAATATTGAAAAATTTTATTACATTTTTTAGAATTTATAAATTGAAAGAATAAAGTAAAATCAGTGATTTTTCAGTTATATATCTACATTTACTGATTATCTAATCTAATAATAAATAATCTGAACAGAATATAAGTATACATTAAGTTTTATAAATACATTATTTTATAAATTTCAGTTTTATATTAAAATATGTTTTTATATATAATACATTAAACTAAACACTATTAACAGAATAAAGTAAAACTTATAAAAAATTAAAGTATTTCATAATGGCTGATTATTATTCACAATTTAAAAATGTTTTCATTATTCATACTTCCAAAATTGGACATTCAAAAGTTATTAAATTTCAGTTTTAAGATTCCAAATTAAATTATTCTAATTCAATCAAATAATATGAATTTTTCAATTGTACTACTTCTTGTTAAATATTTTTCTTAATTAAAAATTTTTGTATAATAATAAAATATTTAATTTTTATTTAGTATATAATTTTTTATTTGAAAAACTGATAAATTTTTTAAAATGGCAATATGCAGATTATAATTTTCTGATATTTAATTTAAATTCTTAAATATGAATTAATTTATCATAACTTATAAATATTATCAATTTTTGATTTTAAAAAGCTCATTTAGCATAGATTAACATTTAATATAAATTGATCTAAAATATTTATATTATACTGCTATATATATAAAATATCTAAAAGGAACAGTATTCATTTGGTATACTAACAAATGTAACTTTCATATTATACAATTTACACTAACTAAAAATTCAAAAATTCTCTAGAAATTATCTACGTAACATTTAATACTTTCAACATGATATTTAAATTAGTAAACTTTTATCTTATCTATATATAGTTTCATAAATACTACATATACCTGTATAGCTTACAGTATCTAAAACATTTGTTGCAATATTTTAAATCCTTGTAACATTTCTAAATTCAATATGATAATTAAATTATTTCAAAATATCAAACACATGCATTCTTTAATGTGCTTATATATAAAAAAAATAATCAAAAACTAAATTATTTTACTTTTATGAATTAAGTTATATGCAAAAGAATAAACATTTGCTTAACTATTATTAATAAAAGAAATATGATAATTTTAATGAATCATAATACAAGTGAAAAATGTTCTAATAATTCATATGGAATAGTAATTAAACTGGATAAATTTATTTTATTACTCTTTATCAATATATTCAAAATATAGCTATTTTTAATATTGATTTAACTAGTTAATATCTTTATATAAAAATGAATTAACAGTCTATTTTATAGAAATTATTATTCTTTTCAGAAATATTTCTGTTTTATAGTTATTTTACATTATTTTGGTTACTTTACACGATTCGGGACGTTTATGTAAAGCATCCGGACAAAGTTCTAACAACTACAAATCAGTACGAAAGTGGGCAAAGATGATGGAAGGTTAAAGAATGAGGCGAGATGAAGCAGACAGAACAAGACTAAATATGTCGCCTTCGTTCGTTCGTTGTTGTTGTTGTTGAATAAGTGAATGAGGCGCCCGATTGCCCATAAAACAACTATCTCGTTTTCGACTGCCGAGTCTGTTTGTCATTCTTCGAAGTTCAACATCGTTTAAAGACATACATGACAAGTTCTTTGGATACAAGTAAAATATACCGTGATTATTTCTTCGATCGAAATTAAATGAACACGAAACGATAGTTTTTTTTTTTTTTAACGAGCAAAAATGAAGCCTAACCTGACAATGACGATTAATTAGTAAATGAGTCTTTATGGGGGGGTTTCGTGAGAGGTAACGGCTACATATTGTTATTACTTACTTGGGAATGATTGTGTCATAGGTCAGAGGCAAATGTCGATCTAGAATCCGTTTCTCCGAAAAGGCCACTTTGTCTTTGTCCTTTGCCAACCGGCGATTCCAAAGCTAAAATGGAGTTTGAGTGGAATCAAGGAGCGCGTGAGATGACGTCACGGGTGCGAGGCGACCGAACCGGACGGAAAAACAATTCCGATTGCGACCTACAAGCGTTAAGGCAGCGGATTCATCGTTAGTCTATTCATAACTGGACTTACACAATGAGTCTGACTTTGTAAAATCTTACTAGACCCAGTTTAAACTATTGGCGAGTCCAGATGGGTAAAAATATCGTTTTAATAACAAAAACTACCTATGACATCGATTTTCATTATCTCCGACGTGATATTTCGACATATTAGCATAAATTCGTCGATATGGTTTCGTATTATAACACGGTCGATGGGTGTTCGAACCAAAATATACAAGTTTGATTCAACTTAAAATTTGTAAACAAACCCACGTGTTCTTCTTACTCTAGGCCTAAACATGACCGTTTACGAGAGATTTAAATAGAAATTTTAAAATGAAAATTTTTTTCCAAGTATATTTCGAATTAAATGATAATGCCGTAAATATCGATTTACATGTATTTTTTTTTTTTTTTCTTGCTTTTCTAATAAATTTGTTAATTATCATAATGACGTCATCAATTCAAAATTGGATCAGTTTCGCAATTTATAAAATAAGGAGTTGGCTGCTTTAATTAAAGCAGCATTGTATAATAAAATTTGTATTCACCCGTAAGGTGTGGCAATCTTATCACGAAATTTTATATTGGTTCCAACAATCGACAACGTTTTTCCCTCTCGACATCTGTTTCAATGACGTAACGAAAACATAATTGTAGTGCTTCCATCTGTCGGTAAAAATAAGCAACTACTTTTCGTTAGTGTTTTGATAAATTAATTTAAAATAAAAATTCAATTTTTAATAATAATAATTAATTTTTAATAAATTTATTATCCTGTATTTCTGTTATAAATTAAAGAAATAATGATAACTACATACCTAATTACATTCTACTTTCATGAATAAATTATTTACGTAAGAGTTATTATTTGCTGCTTATGTAATTATTTATCTAATTATTTATGTAAATTATTTATGTTAGAATAATTTAAATCTTTAAAATAAAACTTTAATTAAAAAATATATATATATATTTACCTGATTGACTTTCTTGAATAGTTTAGCAAATTAAAACATTTTTAGTATTAAATCCAAATTCTTTATGAATTATCAATGTATTTTATTCATGTATACAATAACAAAAAATAAATTACAAAATAAAAGTATTTATAAAAACAACTTTGAAAAATAACAACTTTACGAATTTAAAAATAAATACATATAGCATTACATTAAATTTCATAAATTTTATTACTTTTAGAAAATATGATAATTTCATTTCTACTCGTATGAATTTATCACACTTTGTCCTTCTTTTTAGAAATCTACATAAATATTAAATTTGAGTATGGTAAAATATAAAAAATTAACTGTAATTACAATAGTTATTGTTTTTAGATATTTTCATATTTCATAAAATAATTTATTAATGATACCTAACTCTTAACAAAAGATTTTATGTAATCTACATTTATCTAAAATCACAATAGATGTAATAAATTTATAAAGTCGAATTAAAACCAAATTAAATTTAAACTTTAGAAAAACAAACAATATTTTGTAATATTTCTTTGTCCTGTTTATCTAAAAACGCACTTGTAGATTCTATAAAACAGTTTCGCATCTGTGAAATGAATACAATAGTAGGCTATAAGGATTGATACACAATATTTTCTTTATCCACAACCGTATACATATCCATTTATATATTGCGATAGACATGTTGATAGTTAAATGTCTGTATTATATAAAATATTCATAAAATATTTAAAAGTATTTTAGACTGTGTGCTATTAAGTGACATTTAACAATTTTAATTACTGAATATAATTCAAATAATAGATTAAATGTTAAATTTACAGAACTGTTTAGAGTGACTTTTTATTTTATTTTATTTTTTATTTTCTCAAAAGACACTGTGGCCAGGTTGGCCTTTTACAAGCATCAAAAAAAGTATAATCAAATTTTGCTTTCATAATCTTAATGATTTTTTTTATTTATTTAAAATAAAACTGAAAAAATAATTAATAATTTTTTTTATTTATTCATGTTATTGAGATTATAATATAAATTTTGTAATTTACTTAATGCATATTCAGTTAAAATCAATGAATGCATCGAAATATATAAAATATCTACAAAAATATTTTATTATGAAAACGAATAAAAAGTTTTTCTCAATAAGAATAACAAGATTATCAATTGGAATTTAAGTAAAAATAATAATAATAACATCAATTGCAATTAATGTTAATTCCAATATTTTTAATGTTAATTATTCTTTTATAAAAGTATTCCATAGTTCAGAAACAGTGGGTCTCTGATTTTATATCACAAGAAAAATTAATGTAAGAAAATTAATATAATTAATGTGATGTAATGAAATATTAAGATTGCTTAAAAATTATATTGTTTACAAGATATAGGTCTATATATATACAGTATATGAGCTCTGGAATTTTCCAGAATTATTTAACGTAAGTATAAAACGAGAATATTATTAAGTCTGCATTATCAGAAATACACGTAATAATTTATTTTAAAAATAAAATTTTAAACCTTATTCAGAGGGGGAACTATTCATTGATATAAAAATAAAAACTTTACAGAGAACACGAATTGTTTTTTTGAAAGAATTTTATGGCATTTAAATAAATGGAAATTAAGGTACCAATGAACAATAAATCAAATTAAATCTTTATTTACCATATAAAAAGTTTTCACCCTGCTATTGAGAATAATACAAAATAAAATAATTAAGTAAATTAACAAAATTGAAATAATAGGACTAAACAAAATTTATTTTTTAATTTAAACATTAATTATTTCTGATATTTTTGGATTGATATAAAAATGCTTAAGATTATTTTACCAATTTAAATACAAAACTAATTAATTTATAATCTATAAATTAGACTTCATTTTTTAATAATTATTCAGCTTAACTGCTATTGTTTCTTTTAAAAGTAAAGAATAAAAGTCTCTCTGACTTAATTTCTTCAAAAACCTTCTCTCTTCTTGTCTATTCTTTACTCTTTTAACTTCATACATTTATAAAAAATGATAAAAAATAATAATAAAAATAAATAAATAAATATAAAAAATTTTATTAACCATAAATTTGTTTTTTTTTTCATATCATTTAAACAGGAACTTTTCATCCATATAGTAAAAAATATATTTTTATTAATTGCAGAATATGCCTTTCAGGTTTT